GGTCAAAATCGCCAATAAGGAAGGATCCAAATCAATTATTTCCGGGTCAAAATCACTAAAAACCCGATCCGATTAGGTTTAGTAAATATGTACTTCAAAAATGTTTAGTAGATTATGAGAAGCATGCAGTTTCTCTTGTAATAAAAACCATCTTTTCATCATGTGTTTTCTTAATCTAAACCACTGTCACAGATAATGTGGTTTTACTAGTTAAATTTTGTGGGTAAGGTGAGATACCAACTAACCTGCATATTTCCATTCCTTGGATCGTATGGGGAATTTGGAAGACAGGAAACTCAACCATATTTGATGATTGACACACATGTGATTTTATTTGCTTCGGTTACATCTAAGCTCTCGGAGAATTTGGCAGGTTCTTGGCAAAACTGAGTACAAGACCATCTCCAATGGTTAAGAACCAATTGGTTCTTAACCTTGGATCTTAGCATTGTTTAAAAATAAAATTTTACTTTTTGTAAGTTAAAAATAGAAGAGAGTATCTTAGCAAAAATGTCCTCCAATGGTTAAGAATCCATTGGTTCTTAAGAAAAAAAATTCAAATTTTTGCCAAAACAATGTCTTTTGTGATTAAACATGAAGAAGATGCATGTAATGTAACAAGGACTTTTTTTTGGTTGAATATATTTTTACATTCTTTCAAAAAAAAAAAAAAAAAACATGAAGAAGATGTACAAACATTCATAGAAACAAGACTACTATGTTTGGAACCAAAACAATTCATACAAGACATGGTAAAGGATGAGAATGATCTTGGTCACTGGACCATGTTGCCATGTCAAATGATTCTTGGTGTGTGCTGCCACTTCTCCATCTTCAATGTATCTCGAGTCTTGTATACACCTCATTACTGTAAAATTGAACAAACTTATCATTGATCAGTCTTAGGATTAGAAAAAGCACACACATACACACACTACACTATTGCTTCACTTTCTATAGTTTTTTATATGTGAGACCCAAGATGATATTCCATGAACTAATCATCACAGATAAGAGTTTTTAATTCTTGTATCCAAACATTCATTGTTGTTCATAAAGTTTAAGTTCAATGTATAACTCTAATCCACATACCAAAACGAAAAACCAGAGGAAACAGAGACAGTACCTCTCTTCTACATCAACAGATAAAGTATCATCACTTGCACAAAGAATCGAATCAAAAGCTCTTTGAATCTTCAGACGTCTTTGCGTCCATGTAGAACTCAAAGCTGTACTTACTAGTCAAGTTATGATGCAGAAGTCCCCAATTCCTAATCCCTTGCTTGGCATCTTTCTCAACAATTTCAAAAATGTAAACCTCTGAAACACCTTCTTTGCTCAGATGAGTTCACAAAGCTTTCAAGAACATCTTACTATACAACACTGTCACATCTAGCATCAATTCCCGAGCTAGGCTAGGCCAATCATTCCATGAAAAGAGCTATATAACATAATCTGTTTAGTTTTCTCTCCATGTTAAGTGTTTTCCAAAATCAGCCTAAATTGAAAAATAACCATATGCACGAACAAAGCTATGATCAGAGTCTTTAAGCAACAAGATTACTCAACGATTTATTCTTCTTCTAGCTAACAAAATTCAAATCAATAAACGTTCAATCTCCACATTAAAGGTTCCAAATTCAAGATTAACAAGTCAATATAGTACAGAGAATAGACTAACAACGCTTATTGAATTCTACGACCATACATTCACAAACCAATGAAAAAAATATCTTATATGTTCATGAGACAAACAAATTAAACAACTTATTCATGCATTGATTCTCAATTTCTCTCAATTTTCTAGGCACTATAAAGAATCGTAAACAAGAAGTCAACAATTTTGCTTACTTTCACTTCTAAGAATCAAGTAAAAGCAAAACTCAGAAAATTGGGGAAGAATTTAACCTAATAATCTCTGCTTCCTCTGAGATCTTCTTCTCCCTGTTCGATTCGACGAAAGCAGAACACGATTTAAGATATTTTCTGAGAATTGAATCAGCTAAATTATGTTGATTTGTTGATTTTGCCGATGGAGAGACGAGAAAGAGAGAGAGTCGAGAAAGAGAGAACATGCCACGTCATCGCCTCTTAACATCATAAAAACCTCTTAACTAAGAAACGCCTCTTAAGATATAACACCATTTTACATTTAATTTTAATCATAATTAAACCTAAGAACAGACTAAGAGCCCATTGTTAATAATGATGCTCTTAAGAACCCTTAAATGCAGTGTCCATTCCTCATGGATCAATTCAAATTCTTTTTATGGTGGAGCTTGGATAGCAAGGCATTTACACGGGATTAGCTTTCTTCCATGCTAGAGATTATTTCCTTCGGATGTTATGTATAACCGTATAACCTCAGAATTCCATTGTATTTTATGGACGCTCTGTAGTCTCAGAAATTTGAATGTTGAGAAGGTTGAATTATGGTAAGAACTGCGGCCATTTTAGCAATAGATCAATCAGCTAAATGACCACTTTACCGTTCTAATTTTGGCTTTCGTCACCACAAGCAAATTTAGTAGCCCGTGACATAGCTGAATTAGCTTACTTGGTTTGCTCTGTTTTTGGATTTTTGAGGTTTGCTCTGTTTTATAATTTTAATCTTACACGGAATGAAAACCACTCTAAAATTTCGCCCACACCCAAAAAATATTAGTAAAAAATTAACTTGCTTAGTTAGCGTTATTAGGTTGGAATTTGAAATAATTTTGTGGGTATTATTAAATATAAAAACTAGACATGCATCTGTATATTTAAAATATAAAGTCATATGAGTTTATAATGTTCAAAAAACACTTCTAAAACTTCTCCCACATCCAAACATGCATCTGAATATCGAAAATCATTTTTTTGTTGTTGTCTATATTTTAGCCTTTCAAATTTAGTCAACTACTAAGGAAACACGTATCTAAAGGTATCAAATGAGACGGTCCGCGATGGGCATTAGTTTTCAATAGATTGCGATGGGCCAGCCCGCATGTAAAAATATTATGTTCAGGCATGTCCTACTAAGTCCAACGGGTTTGTGAGCCAGCATTTAAAAAATTAATTTAAACCTTTGGAAATTTAAAATAACTTTTAATATTACTTTTTTGTAATTATTATAATTTTATAATGGAATTTCTTTATATTATCAAATATTTTACATATTTTATTTTCATAATTAAGTAAGAATATTTGTTTATAGATATTATTTATTATTTTTATTAAACATTTGTAGCCCGCATACTGACCAGCCAACCCGTGGGTAAAATCTACTAAAAGCCGCAATCCGTTTGGACCAGTCCATGAGGCCTGCTAATTTATGAACATGTAAAATGATGTTCAAGTCCGTCCCGCCGTGGTACTATATGGGCCAAGTCCACGGACCTCCGACCAGCTTGACACCTCTACACGTATCATTCGAACTTTTTTTTTGGAAGTCAAATGATACGTGTTCGATCCCAAGATAGTATTGTATACCCAAAATATGATTTTGTTGACAAATATGAAAGAACTATTTATGGTAAGACATAAAAAGTCGTATAAATAGTGAGATTTAAACATAAAAGCTGTAGTTTTGGAAGATTGGCTTCTAAAAAAAAAGAAAAAGAGAAAGGATTGCTTTCTTATAAATTAATGTAAACCAACAAATGTTATTTGATAGAAAGTCTACTTTTATCATCTTTTACAAAGAAAATATGTTTTGCCCAAAAAAAAAGAAAAAAAAAACAAAGAAAATATGTATACTTTTAACCTATTTCAAAAACTAATAATTTTGTCAAATTATTGTTTACACAAAAATATACAAAAAATGTTTATATATAAATAGTGTTATATATTATTAACAAATATGAAAGGCTAATTATAGCAAAATGATAAATATTCAAAAAACAAAGAAAAAGTATTGAGATTGTTTTGGAAGTAAATAATACGTGGTCAATCCCAATATTTATTCAAAACTTTTTTTACCCAAAATATGATGTTGACAAATATGAAAGAACTCTTTATGGTAAAAAAAAGGAAAAAAGTGGTATAATGAGATCTTTTGGGATTTATGAGTTCAATTCCAAGATTAATAGTTTTATAAATAGGGCTTAGTTAAGATCTAAAAAATTGTAGACCATTTTCTTCAATAGACTTCAAAACCACAAAAAAAAAAAGGAAGAAGAAGAAGATAATGGGTTTCACAAAAATCTTAGTGACCTTCTTGCTTGTAGTTATATTAGTTGTTTCGTCGTCCCCACAAAATGTTGTGGCATCTGGTATTTTTTATGTATATTATAATGATTGCAACTACAGTAGTTAGCTAGTTTTGATTATGTAAATTTTCAAAAATGATATACAGCATGTAGAATTTTGAGAGATTATCAAAGAATATGAAGTTTTAAAAATGTAATTTGGCATGTTATAAATATGTATGTGTGTTATAGTTAAATTTATGTGGAGTTTTGTGTATATGCGCAGAGATCAAAGCAAGGATCAATGGCGGCCTAGAATGCTTTAATACATGTACACCTTATTATGATGATTATAAATGCAATGTGGACTGCCTATCATCGGGGTACCCGGCAGGAGATTGTCATGTTGTGTCTCCTTCTCAACCTAAAAAATGTTGTTGTTATTAATTAAAATTGATGATCCGTTAATTTTCTTATGTTTTATTAAAACTTTTATTTATAACTATGAGAAGCATGTAGTTTCTCTTATGCCATGAAATAAAAAAACATCTTTACATTGTATCTTTTCTTAATCTAAACCATAATCCCGATTTGATTGTATTGGCGTCCGCGTTTTTATATCCTTGCATACTTATTAGATCAATATCGTAACAAGAGTTACAGTTTGGAAGATTGGCTTCTAAGCCAAATGTTATGAGATCCAAACTCTAGTTTTTTTTTAAAACGTCATTTTATTGGATTACAATTTGTTTACATATTCATTAAACAAAATACTCATTAAACACTCGAAACTAGTTTTATCACATACCAAACTCTAGTTTGATCATATATCATAAACAAATAAGTTTATCCTAGTGTCCAAACACTATGGACATAGGGCGTTGTATCCCGGTCCGCCGTAGTAGAAATGACTCCCCCACTCCTCGCTGTATCCCTTCTTGGCCGTGTAACATGTGGGGTTCTTCGTTTGCAGGACAAACTCTTGGACTGGTTGCATGTACGAGAGGTAGTCAATAATTTTCAGGTTTCGGAAGAAACCTGCTTTGCCGTAGCCTTCCTCTGCAAAGTGGCCCGAACCCATCTGCGTGGTAGTGTGCTGGCCATAGCTTCGAGAGTTCACAACCTCGCCTCCCCACTGTACCAATTTCGCCGGGCCGTGAGCTAAATGCGTGAACAGCCTTGCCGGCCAATACCCAATCACTATGGAGTCAATACTTAGCCACCAATTGCCATCGTTAGTATCCTACAATGAAAACAAAATTTTACAAAAAAATCACAAAAATCACAAAAATAATCAAGTGATCACTAACTTTCAGGGGGGCGAGCATATACCTTCCATATGAACATCGTGACGTCATATTGGCTTCCGCCATAAGAAGAGGTAGGAGCGAATGCACTGCCAATGGCAAACTCGCTAGTGACTTGGACAAAGCCAGGGCACTCGAGGTTGAGACACCCTGTGTTCTGATATGTGTCCCTCTACAAGATTACACATTATTTTCACAACCATATATGACACGACTAATTAGAAATATCTATCATACAAGTTCCTAATATTTTAGTGTATTTGAAACGGGCATGAGATACAACTTTAGAGTTTACCGTATATCACAAAAACTTGAAAATTTTAGTGTTCGTAAAGTATGTATGCCTACAATATCGCGGTGTGTGTGTCTAGTTCATTTGTTAAAAGTAGAATATAAAGTCGTGAGAGACACACAATTCATCATTAGTTAAGATTCTTTATCCTACAATTCCTGATAACTATTAAACAGTAACACTACAAATGTGTGCATATATACATACATATACTATCTGCTAGCTTTACTCTATTATATTATTACTATTATTAAATCAAGGAATAAAGTGCAAGCTATATACCGTCCAATAGACGAAAAGTCGTGGCTGGTTGTCATGATAATGATCCGGGAAAACCTAAACAATGGGGAAATCAAAACTAATTTTACTCATTTATCCATCTTTGCAGTAAACGAACAATTGTGATGATATAGAGAAAAAAGAGAAGAGGGAAAGAAGCAGTAAAATTACCTGCCAGCCAGCCTCGATTGTGTTGAGGTCGGACTCGTTGTAATGTCCAGCGACGAGCCAAATTTGCGACAAACTGAATTCGTGTGTTCCATGTTCTACTGATGGATTCCACACGCTCATAGTTGCCGCTGTTCCATATACTCCCCGCAAATATACCACCTCTCCAATCGCGTACTATTATTTACATCAAAATGAAACCAAAATTAAAAGCTCAAATTAATTCAAAGTCCAAACTTAAAAAATAACACTAATACTATTGGTATATTTTAAAAGTACCTCGTGTCCCTCTTCAGCGGCGTATGGAACTGTTCCGCGATTAAATAGTGTAGCCCTGACCATGCTACGTCTTATGGGTATAGTTTGGTCAGGACAGCTGGTGCCGTTTTGGTTCCAAACCTGCCAAACTCTTCTTTTCGTTTTCTTGATTATATAGGGTAAACCTGCGGCGGGTGCGTCCTTAATTTGAAAAGAAAAAAAAACAATAATTAGTATAGTACAACAAAAATACATTAGTCACGTAAGAGACATCACTATTTTAAAGTTATTACAGTATTACCTTAACCGATTTTAATTAGATAGAAAAAAAAACTACCTGAATTTCATGATTCTGCAAAAGCGGGTGATCAAATGCAGGCTGGTCTCTCATATCGACGCAGTCTATGAGATCACCATCCGTGCTCTGTTGTTTGTAATTGATTTTGAATCAATATATTTATCACAAGAATGTATATATGTATATATGACTACGTATGGGATTGAATAAAATAACATCGTAGATCACCTGGATGATCTTCTTTGGAGCCTTTTTCAAACTAGAAGCTTGCCCCAAAAATACAGCTAGCGTTAGAAGCCGCCAAAGAAGAACCGACATTATTACGAACTAGAGAGATTGAGGAGAGAATCTGTGGAGAGTTTGTTTTGTTAGAAACTTTCTTATTTCTTTCCTTAAAGATAAAAAGCTGTATAATTGTTTTCTTATATACAGCTTTTATCTCTTAAGTATTCTCAATGGTGTATTAGTATTCTCAGGGAAAAAAATGCAACTCCTCTGTAACCGTTTGAAAATATATATACGAAGTGGTATAGATACGTTTTCTTGACTCAGAAGTCAGAAATGTCTATATATAGACTAAAGAAATTATTCTCAAACGTTTTGGGAATATCCTAAAATGGAAACTACGAACCAAAGTTCACACGCTTAGTGAGATGCAGTGGAGTAGTGGACACATCACGCATGTATATATTCTATTCCATGCGTTCTTTAGTCTCTCCAGACAAAATGGATCCATGTTATGTTAATGTTTAATTTATTTATTTCGTAAAGTTTTATTTTATTGAAAAAAACAAAAAAAAGTTTTATTTTAGTTTAGTTTTGAAACAGTATATAATATTCTATCTTTCAGATTTCTTTTAAAAGTGTGTAACAACATCTAGTAAAACTTTTGATGATTTATGATGAATACAAAGAGATATAATGAAGGATTAATTCTACTACGTACCATTAGCTATCTCTAATTCATATGAAAAGCCGTGTTCAAAAAATCGCTAGGCGCTAGTCGGGCGGTGAGGGTGCGCCTAGCGCCTAGCAAGAAAATCGGGGATTACACGGGGATTAATCGGGGATTAGTTTTAGGGCTATTTAATATTTTAAAAACATATTAATCCATTATAATTAAGTAATTTATATAATATTGTTTTTAAAATTGTATTAAACACATGAAAACAAGATTTTAATTTCAAATTTATGATTTTTATACAAATTACGAACATAAGTAGGACGTTTTGAATTTTAGATGAAAAAAAAAAAGTAAAAAAAAAAAAAAAAAAAAAAATGGGCTAGGCGCCGTCTAGGCGGGATAGGCGGCCGCCTAGGCGGTCCAGGCGGACAAAAATCGGATCTCCGATTTTTCTCACCGATTTGGACAAAATCGCCGCGGTGCTCCTCCGATCAGCGCCTAGGCCTAGGCGGCGGCCGATTTTTAGAACAAGGATGAAAAGTAAGGCAACTGATGTTGTTGATGTATTCTGTTTTCTTTTTTTTCAAATGACTCATATAGTCAGACAATGAATTTTGATCCCACATACATAAATGGAAGATTCGTTCTCTCTTTATCAACACTAACATTTAACTACAGAATGAAGGTTCATGTATTCATGATGCGTATGCTTTTCTTTAATTTCCTTCTTCTTATTACCATCCATATTTTCCTCTTTTTTATTTAACTTTAGCTTCATGGTTATATGATAGAAGTTTACAAAAATATATAAGCATCGTTTAACATTGCATTCTTCTTTTTGGGTTTGGATCGAATGGATTATTGAAAATTTCGTCTGTGTGTTGTCTTTTTGTTTTTTTTGATAAACTCTTTGTGTCGTTGTTGATAAAGTAATAAAATATAGAGCATTGTTGAGTCTTTACTGTTTGTCTTATTCAAATAAGCTTTATCTGTTTCGTACGTGACTTTGTTTTGTTCTTTAAGGTAACATCATTTTATACGTAGATTCTATTATTACTTGATTTTTATATATATGATTGACCAATGTCTCTTCTATCTTCAAAGACCGATGTCAGGTTATAAATGCGTGTACACATGTGTATTGGTTATTATTTGTTTTCATACCAATTTATATTAAAATAACCCAAATAGGCCGGGCTAATAGACAATTTTTTTTTTGTCACAAGTCTAGTGAAGACATTAAACAGAAATAACCCAAATAGGCCGGGCTAATAGACATCACAAGCATGCAATATGTTACAATCGACAATTCTAGTGAAGGCATTAAACAGAAAATGATTATTTGTAAACATTATAGTGTAGTTGATGCTTGCTTCAAGAAGATATATAAACATTCGACAAAATAAAAAAGGTAAATTACACACTCAGAATCAGATTCTGTGTAAAACAGATTTGCTGAAAGCAAATAATGAATGATATGTATATGCCACCTGTTCAATTAGGAAAGGAAACAATTACACATAAGAAAATTTTCATTGTAAATCGAAATCAGATTCTTTAGCCCCTTAGTCAATAAAATAATCATGAATTAACAGAGTATGAAACCCAAAGACCTTGAATGATTGTAGTTTTCAAATGGGTTTTGGTTTTAGTTTTTCCAAAAGTCCATTTTATAGCCAGTCATTTTTAAGAGTGGATTCCCAAAAAAATTAAGAAATCTATATTCTAAGAGTTTTGACCAATTTCTTAACAATATCCAAAATTCACTTCAATGAGATTTTGACATTTGAGACTTTTTTTTAATTTGTTTTCTTTTTTTAACCAAAAACTAAAATCTGAAAACCACTTCAAATATTCTAAACATTCATGGCCAAAAACTAGAGTCCTGATAGTTTTGGTGTTTTTTTTTCTTCTAAAAAATCAACTTTTTTAGCCAATCAAGTTACTAGAAACTAGATTTCGGCCATGAATGTTTGGGATATTTTAGGAGGTTTTTAGATTATAAATTTTAGTTTTTAGATTTTCTATTTTTGTTTTTGGTTTTTGAAATTTTGTAAAATAAAAACAAAAAAAAAAACAAATGGAAAATTGAAAAAAAGGATCTCGTGGATGAAATTCTCAAAAACCCATTGAAATGAGATTCTGGATATTGTTAAAAAATTAGTAAAAAATCTTAGAATCTTTATTCCCTATTTTGGAATTATCTTTTCTCAAAATATTGATTAATTAAAAAATGGATTTTGTTGGAAAAACTAAAACCAAAAATCACAACTATTCAAGGCCTTCCTAAAAATGGTAAGGACACTAGTTTCTTGAGTTTTTTTTTTCGTTTGTTTTTAGTGATACTAGATTATAAAAACCTCCCCGTTGTATATTCCATGAATGTTTTGTTAAATCAATAATTCTAATAAAAATGAATTTTAAAATAATATACGTTTACTTAATTTTTAAATACTTTCAAACAGTTAATATGTATAAGTGAAATAATGTTTTCTTTAACAATAAATAAAGTTGGAAATACATGAGTGGTAAATGAACGCACATAGTGAAAAACTACATCAAAGAATGTGTTGTTAAAAAGAGTAAAACAAATATGATTCTCTACAACATTTTTATGATTTTAAAGGGATTTTTCTCCTTTTCTATATCCATTTCCAAAAAAATACTTCATTTAGCATTAAATCTAAAAAGATTTATAAGATATTAATAGATGGTAACTACTATTCAGAGACTCAATTTAATTATTTATAAGGTTTTATAAGGTATTATAAAGTTTTATATAAAGCATATAAAAAACTATTATTAGTAATATACAACTATCTCAAACATAGAGATGATGAAAAAAAATCACGATTATAAAAAAATTTATGCTGGATCCTTGTGGTGCTAGTGGAGGATTAGCTTTATTTTATAATAATGAAATAAAATTGGAAATTCTTTATGCAAGCAATCGGATTATTGATGTTAAAGCATTATTCGGGAAACAAAAAGTTTTTATGTCGTTCGTTTATGGTGATCCAGTTGCCACAAAACGCGAAATTGTATGGGATAAAATAACAGAGTTGGGTTATAACCGGAAAAAACCATGGTTAATGATAGGTGATTTTAATGAATTAACTGGAAATCATGAAAAGACAGGTGGTAATTTAAGATCAGCTGCTTCTTTTGTTCCTTTTAATCTTATGATTCGAAATAACGGTATGTTAGAATTTCCATGCTATGCTGAACAACTATCATGGAGAGGTAATAGGAATCAACAGATAGTCAGGTGCAGACTGGATCGGGCACTGGGAAATGAGGATTGGCATAACTTCTTTCCTCATTCAAAAGTCGATTATCTGGATATGATTGGGTCTGATCATAGACCGATTTTATTGACTTGTGAGAAAACTTCGGGTAGAAGAAAACGACAATTTCGATTTGATAAAAGATGGGTTGGAAAGGATGGTCTTACTGAGGCAATAAATTCAGGTTGGAATCGAACCAGAAATTTTAGAATTCCTGTTTTTGTGAATAAAATTAAGAACTGTAGAAATTCCATTTCATGGTGGAGGAAAAATAATATTTCAACGGGTCAAGCTAATATCTCTTCTCTTAAGGTGGCTTTGGAAGAAGCGAAAAATGATGATCTGATTCCACAAGAGGAAATCAAAAGAATCGAAAATAAATTAAAGGAAGCTTATCATGAGGAGGAAATTTATTGGAAACAAAAGAGCAGAAACTTTTGGTTAAAAGTGGGGGATAAAAATACCAAATACTTTCATGCTTCTACAAAAAAAAGAAGGGCAAGAAATAAGATTTCAGGTCTATATGGACCTAATGATATTTGGGAGGAATCAGAAAGAGGGATGGAGGAGATAGCAACTAATTACTTTAAAGAACTTTTTAAGGTCTCCAATACGAATGGTATCGCTGATATGGTAAATGAAGTGCCTCCAGTTATTA